CCGCCTACTACAAGCTGTAAGGGGGTAATTAACTTTTGTGCCTGCTCGGCTGATAGCTATTTAGTGTGAACCCCCAGGGAGTCAATTCGATCTAGTTGGATCCATGTAATCTCTGGGAATGGGGTCTTTGATGTAACTTTCTTACCTTTATGCAGTACTTACACATTTCTTTTACGTCTCCTTTTCTTCAGTTTCACCCTGCTTCTTTCATACATCTATTCACTTAGTAGCTGCATGTTACCCTAGATTTTAAAAACACAGAATTTGGTGAAATGTTTTCCATCTTTCAGTCAAGTCTGTGTTGGCAGCAGAGAACAGGCAGTATGTAAGCTCACTTTCACCAATCAAAACTAACAATTGTCCAACAGTTTCTTATTATTTTGAGTCTTTTGTTCCCTTTGTTGACATGCTTGAGATACGGGTATCCATTGAAAGCCTTAATTTGAGGAGAAAATAATTCTTTAAAGCAGCAGTGAATCATGAAATGGCATTTGTAGACTTAGATGCCATTGGTCATTATGAAAATCAAGCACTGGCATTGCAGTCCACCAATATTACTCAATCAATACATTCATTCTTTTTTCATCTGAAGAAATTTTAAAGTGGAATAATTTCAAGTGGACAATGATTTCTGTGCCCCTGCTGTTGAATAATTCCACTAGGGCAATAATGACCAGCATAGAAACAGGGCTGTGGTTGTAAGCTTTGTTGGTACAAACATTTGAACCCTGTAACCTAAAAATCAGTCACAGTTGGTTGATACAGGAAGGTTTATCAAGCTTCTTTATTTTTGTGTTCATTTATAAATGCAGGAAAAAACAGTGGTAACAAATTCATTGGACATTTAAAGAAAACATGTTTAATGTGGCAACCAGAGCAAAAGCACTTGGATCTGGGAAAAAAGGTACCAAATTTTGGTTAGATACAATGGCAAAATATTTTTTGATATGATTTTAAGGTTTGATTTGCTGGATTAAATTTTATCAAGCTCAATTCTTAATGAAGAAAATTAGGATTCTACTGAATGGACATATGTTTGTTACTAGTTTGTAATTTGTATCACCTAGAAATTAAAGTCACTTTGTTTTAATTTTATACGATATAGCCACAACCTTAAGTGATTAAGCCACTCGTATATTATGAACTGTTAGGCAAATGGTAAAGTGACATATCTAACATTATTTATGAATTTTTTATTTTATGAGGTAAGCACCGTCAGCTTTCACAATCATAAAACACATAAAACAGCAATAAATTATTTGATCTATCTTAAGCCTGTGAAATACATTTATACATGTATAATAACTACATGTATTATTTAAAATGCAGGTGTAATTATTGAAGTGTGATGTACTGTACCTTTTTCCTGGACTCCTTTCTCTGAACCCTTATTTAATATGTTTTTGAATCTTCAATCCAAAAAGATGGTTTCACGGGGCTGTAGCAATAGTCCGAAGGTTCATTGGTCCGAATGTTCACTATAGAACCTTCGGACCAATGAACCCTTGATTAAAAAATCGATGAAAATGTTACCACTTTTCGGACCAATGAACCTGCGGACCAATGAACCTTCGGACTATCGAGACACCCTCGGTTTCACAGCTCTACTCTAGATTCTGGCTTAAGTTTGTAATTTATAAGGGGGTAAAGGGTGAATTTTTCATGGCATTCTTGTATTTGTAAGAGCAGGAGGCAGGGTTGCACTCCAATAACCACACGCTGTTGTAATGAAAAAAAGATGTTAAGCTCAAACATTTCTTTGAACTATTGTTATCTTATTATGTAGAGATAGTATACTTGGGTATGTAATTAAATGCCATTGAAAGATGGACACTTTTTTCCTATTAGTAACAGTAATAAAATAAATAATAATGCAAGTCACACCTGACAGTAATATTTGGGACTACCAGTGGTCAGTATTGTAAGGTACCAACATAGTGAACAACCAAAGTGGTGTGCTAGTTATTACATTTTGGGTTAATTTCTGTATATTGTTAATAGAAATAAGTAAAGGGCATTTCTTTTTCCTTCTCCCCCTCCTCCTATATCTCCCAAGTCTCTCTTTAGTGGGAACAATGTGTATGGTAAGGTTATCGTAAGCAATTAGTTAGGGCTACTTCCTAAATTATGTTTAGACAGGTTACCAAGGTAGCCTTTATCAGAGCTTTCTAGCGTATCTGAGGCTGTCACAAGATAAGAAATAAATGGTCCCATAACAAAGAAAACTGTTTGATTGTGACATTTTGAAGGATAAGGTACAAGATTTTTGCTGTGTTTTGAGATCACTTCTGAAGCAGCTTTTCTAAAATGTCGCGATCACCAACGGCATCCTACGATATTTTACATGTCCATGTGAAATCTCCCAGCACCCATTCTAGTTCAAGAGGTTCTTCTCGTAAGTTAAAATCTATTAATATTAATTAAAAGCTTGCAAATTTTGAAAATATGCATTTGGCTTGATATACAGACATGCTAGGTAGTAGAAAACACTGGGCACTTTTTTCTTACTGAAAAAAATTATCACAAACAGATCTTATATTGTTAAAAAATAATATAGGTACATATATGTATTCACATCATGTAAGGCTACTTGGTAATAGCTACCAGTCAAGTATATGTATGTATTAATTGGAATAAATATAGTATCATGCTTCGTCTGTTTTTTAAGGTTTCAGTATCATAGTACTTGAAATGGGTAGATCTGATCATCAGATGCTATATAAATTAACAACTAAAAAAGATAAGAAACTGATGTTGATAAAAAAAAGTAAAAGATTTTATATATAAATTACTTGAGTAAGCCACCCAAGTGCTTGCGGAACAAATATGCAAATTAGCTATTGGTTACCAGATACCGTGTTGAAATGATATCTTAGTGAATATGATAATGACTAAATGATTTTTCTCTTATTTTTTAGAAAGTCACAGCTACATGTTAATATATCAATAGGCTTATGTAGGATTGCAGAAACTGACTCTGGATCAAGAAAAACATTGATTTTCAGCTGATAAAGGTCACAGTGACAGTGTCCACATTTTTTGTTTAATCACACTGCAGTACAAAAACCAGTAGCATCAGTAAGCAGTAAATGAGACAGTTCATACATATATACCTAGTATTGCACTGCAGAGTATTTACAAAACTATTTAGTTAATGGACAGTGGCTTACATCATGTTGACTATTAGATTCTTAAGTAACCATATTATATGTTGGTTCCAAGCAACTAAGTTTTGCAGAGGATTAAATGTCATAGAACTGGACAGGCATTGTTCAGCTGTGACAAGAATTGATTTGATAACAAACTTTCAACAAAACTGACATTTGAGGACACATTGATCTCACTGCTTACACACAGAATTGCTTCCTTGCATACACAGACTGCTGAATGAAAGGTACCAATTAAAGTTTAGTATGGAAATTCAGGAGAAATTGGAGAAGTATAATATTTAACAGGGGTGGACAAATAGCCTTGTTGCTGGGATAAAATGTTGAGCACAACTGAATGAGAGTGCATGTGGAAAAGATCTCTTAAACTTACTTTCCCTGTATGACATGATATGGAATCTAGCAATCAGAAAGGCGGAGGCAGTTTTTTGACTGCTATGAAAAAGAATAAGGTAACCAGGCAGATAGGGTTGAAGATTCTTGCTGCAGGTATGAAAACTTGGGTTTTATTTTTTATATTGAAGGTGTATGAGATGATGCTCTTCATAATTGGAGAAGTTGTAAAGAATTTTTGAACCCCTGTGTTACTTTTCAATGTAAGGATGTTAAGGATTTTTCAAATGAAAGTAACTTAATTCATTATATTTTTATGTAAATTGAGAATCTATTTTTTCTGCTCTTTGAACAACAGTGTCTATCACTTGCCTACTACCAGTTTTTTATGACTGTGCTAGAATACAACTTTGCCTTTGAGACAATAATGAATACTATCCATATAATTATTACCTCTGAAAGGCATTTTACAGGATATATATTTTCTCATATGTTTCCCTCTCTTGCTATTTTAACATAATTAGCCTGGCAGTTTTCTCAGTTTTCTGACCTAGGCAATTTTTTTTTCATGAGCGTTAGTTCCTTTATCTGCCTAAAGGTGGCACTGCATGCATAAGTATAAATGACAGTTGATTGAAAGGAGGATTCTTTTTGGTATCATTTTTTGCCCAATAAATTATAGTTTAGACACAATTATATTTTTGATGTGCCTCCATAATATTGAGTTTTATTTTATGTGCTTGTAAAATCTGAAGTTATATTTTTGAACAATTCTTATGGAGATAAATTGAACAGTATGAATAAGGCTTATATAAACAGTTTTATATAAAATTGCATTCCTCACTTACTGTTTAATCACTATGAAAAACAACTTATTTACTTTTAAACCATGGCCATGCTTTTTACTTTTTTTATATGAAATACCTCAAGTGTTTACCTCTGTTAACTCCCAAAAAGCAGCACATGTAGACCTAGAACTTGGGTTATTGTATGCCATCTTGGTGGGAAAAGTTTTAACAAATGTTAGTATTTTAAAGCCATAAAAGGTTGGCAAGTCTTTCAAGTTCCATAAATAAAACTCAGGAAATAAATATCATGAAAATTACACATAGCTGGGTGTTATTACTTACAAGGCAAAGAATATGGATGATACTTACCTTTAAGCCAACTCTTGCTGCTCAGGCTCAGGTATGTCTGTAAATAATTTTTATTCAGGCATTATTGAATTTCTGTTTTACACCAGTTGGGTATCTAGGGTTAATTTCCTTATATGGGTTACTTAACTGTTTACCCGTATGCTTTTGAACTGTAACAGGCTTAAAAAAGTACCTCACATGTCAATATCTTAAAGAAAGAAACTAAACTAAGTAACAAGATAGCTCTATAAGTTTGTGCAAAATTGCATGGCTGCCTTTGTTTGTTGAAAGACCAACTACAAAGCGCCATGTATCAATTGCAAGTGAAAGAGTTATTTCTTTCTATTTCCTTTGGTCTGTTGCTCAGTTGATTTACATACAAATGGAATTGGATCAGGGGCATTGGGAATCGATGAAGTGCACAAGTAAGAGAAGAAAAACAGACTGTTTTTTTAAACAGACCCGGAGCAAGGACAAATAAAAGAAATGGTAGAGGACAACAGTTCTGTGTAAGAATAAAGGGCAAAGGTGTCTGGAGTCGCCCTATGGTTAGCCTTACAGACAGATGGTGTTAGACTCGGCCTATTGAATAGGTCCCCACTTGGATACAGGTTCAGTGTGTGTGACTTGTTCATATTGACCAACCCATGGGATAGAAACCAAGAAGGAGGGGAGCAAAACAGCAATATTGTCAACTTCTTTGTGACAACAACAGACCAAAATGGCAACAAATCTGTTGCTAAGGTGTTAATCATTTTTAGAAAGTTATTGGAAACTGAAAAGCAATTTACTGGTGTTCTTAACATTCATGAGGAAATTTTACAACTGAAACAACCCGCCGCCAAAGGGACTACAGACAAGACATTTTGTAATAACAAAGTGTAGTAACAACAATGTCTACAGCTAAGAAGAAGGCCACCATGCCAGTTGGAGACAAGAAGGGAGGAGATGGAGCATCCGATTCTTCTAAAAGGCCAAGATCCAAGTCTCCCAGTATGGTGTTTGCCTAGAATATATCATTATATATCCGTGTATTTTTAGTGGAAAATCTTTCTAGATCTTTTTGGCGTGGACTGGGCATAATTTCTAGTGCACAATATACTTCAGTACTATATATACTTATAAGAAGAAGTATGATTTGAACAAAATATTTTAATATCTTAGTAACATCCACAGGCTAGTACACGGTTATGCATGGATTTGAAATTGTAATATACCAGTAGCTGTAAACTTAACTGAGTAACTTAGATTTTCTCCCATTGAGAACCACCTGTTCCTTAGTGTCACGGGCAAAAAAAAATCATGACTTTTGGAATTTTTGTTTATTATTTCTATGGAAACTACAAACTTGTACATCAAAATTTCACCTCAGTTATACTTTTGATTTAACACAATGAGGTTTAAATGTCAATGGGATACATTAATATTTTCAGCTGTACAGAACATGTTAGAAAAGTTTTGTAACATGCTGTTAGGGAATAATTTGGTCAGCTAAGTAGGGCACTAGATTTACTGGCATATGTATATGTAAGCCTGGTCACCATGCCATCTACACTGACACCATGACCAGTGTCCACTTGAACAACAAACTAAACAAATACATGTACCACTTATGTTTGTGGACTTTCTTGATTTGCAGATAAAATAATCTTTGCAGACATTTTATTTGTAGGTAAACATTTACCACACAAATGTCAATTATACCGTGAAGAAACTCCAGAATTTATTTTACCAGGCTGCTACGCATAAATGGTTGGCTAATTGATCACACAATAGGAAATGCTTTTAGGATACACACCATATGTTGGTTGTTAATATTTTTCTTGATTTCTTACCCTTCAGACAAATTGAAGAAACGTAAAGATGGTGGTACGCCAGAGAAAAGTCAAACACCCAATCCTGATGAGGCGTCTGAGGATAGTGGACCTGCGCAGACCAAGAATGTCATCACAGGGGCCGATGTCCTCAGTTTGGCTATCAAGGAGGATGACCTCCTCAAAGTCAGTGATCATTTATTCTCCTTAATGATGATATTGTTTTTGTTTGTTTTTTTAAGTTGTAAATTAAAGCAAATGTTAAACTGTTGGAGACTGTGAATTAATTCACTTTATTCTAATCAAGAGGATTATTAACGAAACCATTAAGGCCACCAGCAGATTGTTCAGTTATGTATATATCACCTTCAAATGAATTGTTTGCTTTAAAACTATGGGACTGTAAGGTGCTGCCTCCTGGTGCATATCAGTTTTGGCTACAAAATAATTGAAGCCAGGTATTTAACTTCCTAGACTTTTGTAATTCATTTCATGCACATTTTTGTGCAGTGGTGTCTTAATATAAAGAGTCATTCCATTGTGGTAAAAAAGAAAACTATTCGTGTGTGTGTGTGTATAAAAAGTCTGATATTTGGTATATCACTCACAACATATCTCTGTAGTTGAGAGAGCCACACCCCCCAGAGACTAAAAAGACTCCTGTTACTCAGCCAGTGGTGGTCAGGAAAAGAAAACCGCAGTCGGAACTGGATAAACCAACCCCGAGAGTGTAAGTTGATCAATTGTCCACTGGCATATCTCAGTTTTGTTGTTTGATAACAAATCAATAAGTAGTATTTAACATTGAAGTGCCCTTTTCCTGTGATGTTTAATGATATTACATAACAAGAACAATAAAGACGAAAAAGAAAAGACGTATTCTCACTAGTCCTAATATAACATAACATACATCTATATTCTTACAGAGTTACAGTGGCCAGACCTGCTCCACCAAATGCACCCATCAAGCCTGTTGACACCAGTGAGTTGAATTTGACCATATTTAATACTAAATGAATCTATGATTGTTCTGCTAGATTTATAATGTTTTTATTGTACCTTCAG